AAAAGTTTATATTTCTTCAAGAAGCAAGGATACTTGTGATAAGGTTGCTAAAGAATTATCTGATAAAGGTAAAGTTTAATAAAATTGAATAAATTATTGGAAGTTACATGTTAATTCTTTGGAATTTGTATCAGGGCCAGGTAAAGCTGTTAGTATACCGGCAAATTTACAACATTTAAATGAAGTCAAACGATTAGCTAATGAAATTAAAGAACGTGAAGGAAGTAAGTTCGATGAACTTTGTTACGATACAAATAGATATTTAATTTATATAAAATAAATATTAATTTAAATAGAGCTACACATATTAATTAATAATGCTGGTGCGAGTTGGGGTGCTCCTATTGCTTCTTATCCAGACGAGGCATTTGAGGTTATGTTAGTTTTAAATATCTCTCAAATCAAGCTAATTAATAGCTAATATTTACTATTATATTATTAAATAACAGAAAATTATGAATTTGAACGTTAAAAGAATTTTTAGTTTAACACAAGCGTAAGTTGTTTACATATTTATATATGTATATATATATATATTTTTGATATTTTTTAAAAAAAATATGTATATGTATATCTTTTTTCTATTTAGATGTTTACCATTACTTGAGAAAGCTGCATCACCAAAAGATCCGGCAAGAGTAATTAATATTGGATCAATTGCCGGTTTGGAAACACCATTCAACGAAACATATGCATATTCAACTTCCAAAGCAGCTTTACTTCATTTAACAAAAGTAATGGCTGGACAATTATCAAATCGTCAAATTACATTTAATAATATTGCACCTGGACCTTATCAATCAAAAATAACGGCTAAAGCTTTGAAAGATCATGGCGAAACAATTAAATCAGAAGTGCCTTTAGATAGAATTGGAGCAGCTGAAGATATTGCCGGTACCGCGATTTATTTATCTAGTAAGGCCGGCGCTTTTACTAATGGTGCTACTATTACAGTTGATGGCGGTTTGATTTCTAGACCCATTAATTCCAATTTATAATTTAAAACTTTTTTTAAACCAAAAAAATTATCGCAATAAAAATATTTAAAGTTCAATTCTACCAGGATAAAGAGGTGATGGGAAAATGAATCATCATTTTTGTTTCGCTTGGGTCATCCGTTGAACAAAAACATATTTAGAAACTTGTCCAATACTACATGTTGCCAAAGAATCAATGATAAATGTAACTAATTCACCCCAAAGAGGAATTGATGATGCGAATTTAACCAATCCTTTGCCTCCAACTTCTTTACTAATTAATTTCATTGCAACACGTTTATTTATAGATCTTAAAGCATATCGGGAATTTGATCTTTACGCAAGTTATTATCATTGCTAATTCCTTCGCTATTCCTGCATTTGAGTTTTAACTCCATCTGAGCGATACACCAATAAATTAATGTCCGGACTGCATATCTAATCCAGCTAATGAAGCAATTGATTTCACATAAAGCTATTCGGTAAGTATCTTTATTATTAATTTTATAGAATTATACATTTTTTTATATCTGTATTAATCCATATAAATTTTTTTCTTTCGATAATATTCAAGTTGTAATTTTAGGTATAAATAAAGTATAAATGATATAGATGAGTTAAATAATTAAAAGATTTAATTGATTTAACTTTTAATTTAACTAACATTAAACACAACTTGAAACATGTGGATTATACATTTCTGATAAAATTTATTATATAGAAAATCTTTAGATAAGTGTTTTTCTTTGTCTAAAAGATTGTATATTATCAAAAGAATTAAGGTTAAATATGATATATCTTAAAGATTTATTAATTGTAATCTTAATTAGAAAAGTAAAATCAATCCTTTTAAAGAATTATTTAAAGTTTTTTAAAAATATATTTTAGCTTATTTGATGATATAATATAATAATTAATAATTAATAATAAAAATAAAAATGAAAATGATAAAATGAAGATGATGTAATTAATAAAGTAAAAGAAAATAAAGAAAATAAAGATAATAAATAAAAAAAAAAAATAATAATAATAAATATAATATTGATAGTAATAAATACATTATAAATTCTTTTGATAAATAATTAAATAAAAAAATTAATAATTAAAAAAGAAAATTTATAAACTTAAATAAAGAAACTTCAATATAGTTTAATTTATCAAAATAATCAAAAAATAGTATTTGATATTAATGCTATTAATAATAATAATATTTAATTTAAATGTAATTTAATTATATTAGCAATTAAAAATAATAATATTAAAATTTTATTATTTTTTAATAAATTTGAATATATTATAGATCAAAATATTAAATATTAATAATTTAGAAAAGATTAATAATATTATTATTATTTACAAAGTTATAAATATTAATAACGAATATATTTTCATATTTTAAATAATCTATTATATAAAATAAATTTTTTTAAATAAAATTTTCAAAGTTTATAAATTATATAATGTGTTTTTTTATACTAATAAAGCTATATATACAAACATATATAATAAAAATTATTTAAAATAATTTTAATTAATTAGCAGATAAATACTCATAAAAAAGTGATAATTAGATTTTATTTATTTTATATTAAAATTATATTATTAATAGATATATTAAATAAATAATTTGTTAATTAATTATAAGTATGGATTTATATTTTTATTTTTATTTGAATATATAATAATATAAGTAAATTTTAATAAAATTGTTAAAATTTTTATAAAATTTTAATTTTTATACTTATCAAAATTTATAAACTTAAAAAAATTTTTTAATTTTACAGATATTTAAAATTCTTAAATCAATTTTGCAATTTATATATCTTAAAATTAAGATTTATTTAGTCAAATTTAATAATAAATTAAAAATAAGTAGTATAATAATATATCATAATCAAATTCTAAATAAAAGATAACATTGAAAAAAAAAGTATTTGTATAAATTTAATTAATTCTTTTATTTATTTTTTAAAATTTGTAAAAAAGTTAATTTATAATTTAAATAAATTATAAAAAACTAATTACATACTTTGTTATAAATTAAATTTTTAAACTTCAAATAACATAATAATAAAATAAAATAAAAAAAATATAAATATAAATATAATAAAAATAATAAAAATTAAAGACAATAAAGAAAAAAATTAACTATTATAATAAGAATTATAAATAACTCTAATTTCTAAAGCATTAGATAATTCTAATAAATTAAATAAATTTTTTTTTGCAAAACATTAATAATATTTTGACCTAACAAAATGATAACATTTAGAAGTTTTTTTTATTTTTGTAAATTTGATCTAATTGATTAGTCAATCATTTTCTTAAATATTTACTACTTTAAAATACATTATTTTAAGATTATAAATCAGATTAATTTCTTAAAATATTAAATTTATAAGCTAGATTTACTTATTAAAATAGATTAATTATAAGTTATAATTTAAAATACTTTTATATTTAATTAAAAAAATTAATATAATAATACCTTTGATATTTTTATTTAAAATTTTTCTTTTAAATATTCTCATTTACTTTTATTGATAATTAAGAAACTGATAAAAGTCAAGAATAATAAAATTATTAATCAATATTAGTAAATAATTGGTTTTTTTCTTAATGCATGAACATTAATACTAATATATAATTTTTTTCTCTTATATAATAAAAAATAAAATTTTTAAAGAAACTGTTTAATTACCTTTATATATTAATAATATTTATTTAATTTAAAATAAATTTTTAATTTAATAAATCATTTTATAAAGTTTATTATTTCATTTGAAAAAAATAATTGTATGAGATTAAATGATAAATTTTAATTTATTTCTTTTATTTAATTTAATTAATAAACATATATTATTTAATAAATATTCTTTTTATGAAAAAAATCATTACTTTACTAAATCATTCTACAAGATAAGTTAATATAATTATTTTTATTAAATTAAAATAATATTTAATTAAAACTATTTTATTAAAACTTACTTACAATCCAAAAAATTTCACAATTTAAAAATTTTAGAAACCTTAGATCAATCAAATTGAAGACAAATTTTATAAAAAAAAAATAATTTTTTTTTTTTATTTTTAATTAATTAAGAAAATTAAATAATTACTTACCATTTTTTTGTAGATGTTAGAATTCTTAAATTGATTAAATTGAGATCAAAATCCTATAAGAAGAAGGTAAATATAATTTTTTTTATTTTTATTTATATAAAATTAATAATTAAATAATTACTTATTTTTTTTTATTATTATAAACTTCAGATTAATTGAATTAAAGGCAAAATTTTAAAGAAAAGGTAAATAAATATTTTTTAATTTTTAAATTAATTAAAAATTAAATAATTATTTACTTTTTCTTTTATAAATATCAGAATCCTTAAACTAATTAATTGAAAGCAAGTCTTATAAAAAAAAAGTAAATATTTAAATTAATTAAATTAACAAATAAATAATTACTTACTTTTTTTACAGATATTGAAATTCTTAGATTTTTAGTCTTTAAAGTAATTTTTGATTTTTTTTTATAATTTTAAAAATATTTTTTTTAAAAAAATAGTTTTCTTTTGCTTAGATTCTTAATTTATTTTTTATTTTATTTTAAAGTAAGGCTTGTAAATTTTTTTTAAAGTGTTTTAATTTTTTTTTGATTTTTAGAAATGTTTCTCTTTCTTTTTAGATTTAGACTTTAAAAAATTTTTATAAATTTTTTTTTTTTTTTATAATTTTAAATTTTAATTATTTTACTTAATAAATTAAAACTATTTTTAATTCTGAAATATAAGAGATTAATATATATTAAGTAAATAGATATCAAGACATTTTTGTTATTCAGTATAAATAATATATAATTTTAATAAAGCTTTAAATTAAAAATAATATTTATTTTACTATAAAATATTTCAAACTTTTTTAATTTAAATTTAAATTGTATATAATTTTATAATTAAATATAATTATCAAATTATATAAAAAATTATATATAAAAATTAGATTAATTTATATATAACAGATGTAAAGCCATTACTGATTATATAATACAATATATAATTATTATATCATAAACTATAATAAACTTTTTATATAAAATAATATTTATTCGCTTTTATATACTTTTTTACATTAATTAATTCTTTTACTGAAAGTGTTGATAACTATGAGATTTTTGAATTATTGAAATATAAAACTTTTGATACTAGTAATTCACATACTCTCTTTCATTATTCATAATTCCAAACTAACAACTATAATACAAATGAAATATTTGGATTTAATACACAAAATGGTACGAATATCTGTTTGTTATTTTTTACTTTTATTATTATCTTTCACATTTTTTTATTTAAGTAGAAGGAATGAGTTATGTTCAATTTGATTCTAACTTATTCAAATTAAATGTTTGTCCTAATCTTTATAAAGAGCTATTATTCCTAAACTTTGATATAGCTTTTCACTATTACTTGAAATTTGATAGATTTTCCAGTTTTGCTATTAGGAAAAAAAAAGTAATAAAGAATAATTATCTAGACTGTGAATTTTTCAGTAAGATGCCACAATAAGTAATAAAGTAAATAAAAAGAAATATATATGTAGTAAATGCAAAGAAGTGGAACATAATACAAGAATATGCAGAAATTAATTAGTTATTATCACTTTATTTTTGCAACATAATTAAGTTCTATCATATATTTAACATTTAGAGTTAATTAATTTAATTAATTTAATAGCTTGAATTACTACTGTAAATCAAGCTAGTGATCTTTAATCACCAAAATTAATTTAATATTTATTTACAGATCATTAAGGTAAATTCTAATCTTATATTGCATAAAAAGGTTTCTACATTTTCATATTCATCCATACTAAATTTAACTGAGTAACTAAATACTAAAACAACAGAATTTATTTAGTAAAAAGACCAGTTTTTGATATAAATCATGCTTAATTTATTTTCTTAAACAAATAATCTATCTATTGCTTACAGAATTATATATTATGTAATTTAATGATTTGCTGATTTACTATAAACTTATAGATAATGTAATTTCTCTATAATATAATGGGATATTACAGATAAATTTTCCATAAATATTATATATAAAAATGCAATAATTTTGTCTACATAGTAAAATAAATTAAGGATCTACTTATTAATTAATAATTGAAATTTAATATTTTTAATGTTTTTTAATTAAATGTTTTTAAAGGTATTGTTAGATAAATAAATTTTAGTATATAAAATGCATTTATAATTTGTAGTTACTTTGTTAAAAAAATTTTATAGTGATTTTCTTATATCAGAAAAATTGGTATTTTTTTATTTAAACTTATGCCTTCAGATATTTTGCAATACAAATAATAATATAAAATGAAAATAATTTTAATTAAAATAATTAATGCATTTTTTAATTTATAAGATACAGTTTTAATATAGATTGATTATTTAAAATCAGTTTAGTTTTAGTTTAATTTGATTCTTAAATTAAATTAGAGTCAAACTAGTTTGACTATAGATTTTAATATCTTTAACATAATAGCATTAATTAAATGCAAAATTAGATTGATAAAAATTTAATATAAATATTTAGATTATTTGTCCTAATAAAAATTTTTATTATTTTTGAAAATGATGATCAAATAATTTAATCGATTATATAATAAAATATTAAATCAATTAATAATCATTATGAAAAAAGGTATTTTATTTAATATGATACTATGAAATAATATATGATATATATTATTATGATATAACTCAAATTATTTAATATATATATAATATATCTATATATTCAACTTTTTCAATATTTTTTATTTTTTATTTTAGATATACTGATATAATATTTTACTGTCTTATTCTTGATAATACTATTATAAAACTTTTCTAATTACTATTATTAAAGATATGAAAATTTTCAATCTAAAAAAAATTATTTGAAATGAAGTAAAAATGATTTTATTAGCAATAAATTAATGTAAAATATATAGTTTTATAAAGGTAATAATATTTACTAATAATATAAAATTAGAAATTAAAATATACTTCCCTCCAAAAAATATTTGACTATCTAACTTTTTAATATTTTATGCTAATACCTCATTAGCTATAAATATTAAGATGATAATTTATAATTTTATATTAATTTCTGGGATTTAATAAATATTTCAAACATAATTTGATTAATAAATCCAATTTTGTATAAATTAGTGATCTATATCTATAACTAGCACTTAGTAAAATTTTAACCATGAATAAAATTGTAATCAAATTTCAAAATTAATTTTTTTATATGAAAATAGCTAGTCTTTAAAGTTTAATATCTCAACAATCACTAATCAAATATTTATAAAATTTGGTATACTGGTTCTTATAAAGTAAGGCAATAATATATAATATAGGTTTTATTACAGTTAGCTTGGTTAAAATTTTGTTTAATGATTAAAAATTTATTAAGTGTTAGTTATAGATGTAGATTACAATTTTTACAAAATTAGACTTATTAATCAGATACTAAATTATGTTTGAAATATTTATTAAATCCCAAAAATTAATATATAATTATAAATCATCATTCTAATATTTATAACTAATAAGATATTAATATAAAATATCAAAAAAATTGGGTGGTTAAATATTTTTTGGAGGGAAGTGTACATGCTAGTAATATTGAAAAAGAGCTTAAAAATAAAGAGTTAAACCTATTTAAAAAAGCTGATATATATTTTAACAATTAGAATATTTTTTTAAAAGAAAAACACTAAATATAATATAAATATTATTATGTAATTCCTATTATATATCATAACTGGTAAGTATTTCCTAATTTTTTATTTCTTAAATAAAAAATTTAGTAATATTGATTAACTAATTACACTTTTTTTTCTTTTTTTATATATATTTAACTACATTAGATCCATTAGAATGAAATATTATATTGTTGAATACAAATTCTATTATTTTAAATATAAATATGATTCTCACTATATTTTAAGAATTTTTATAAGATATTATAACTAAAAGATTAAACTTTCTATTATTAAATTAAATAAAGCTTATTTTTACTATAATACTATCTGAGATCTTTAAATTCTCTCAAATTTTAAATACAAGTAAAGACTTTTTCTTTTTATAAATAATTTTCTTACAATAAATAAAGATGATAAACTAACTAATACTATTAAATTAGAAGAACTTTTATAGATAAAAATGTGTTTAATAGTTTTGAGAATTTCTAGCTTTAGGTAGACAAAAATATTAATTGAATTATTATATAAGAAATATAGATTTTATTTTACAGGTCTTATAAAAAAGAATTTAGATTTAGATAATCTTTTAATGATAATTAATCATTTACTTTTAAGATTAAAAGTATAATAATACTTATATTATAAGATATAGCAAATATTTATTGTTTGCTTAAATTTATACACTCAAATATATATTAGAAAATTATAAAAAAATAAGTTTATACAATTAGACCATTTTACAACTTTGTTTAATTTTTTTTTTGATAAAAATTTTTTTTAGAAAATAATCTTGAAATTCAGAAAAGTTACAGAATATTTTTTGAATAATAAGCTTTAGAAATTGATTTTTAATATATTATTTTATAAAAACAGATAGGATTTTCACATTTACTTTTTGCTTTAATCTATATTTTACATTTATTTTTCACTTTAATCTATTACCTTATATTATATATTATTAATTTTTAAAAAATATTACCTGTAATTTTATATAAGATTTATAAACTTATTAATCAATTTTATAATAAATTCACCTTCATTACTAATAAAAATAAAAATTAATCATTATATTCAGTAATTATTAGAGTTTTACAATTTTATGCATATGTATTATTTTTTAAAAATTAGTCTAAATTATAAAGTCAGTATTAGATATCACTAGTTTGCATGGCATAAAAAAATAATTTAGAATTATAAAGATTTGATCATTATAAAGAATAAGTTTGATTTAACTGATAAGCTTAGAAATTTACTATTAAATTTTGGATTTTCATTTGATAATCATTATAATAGTTTGTAAAATAAGTTAGATTTATAATAGCCTTTGTTAAAAAATGGTTAAATAATAATTATAATATAAATGCATTATTTATAAAATTCAAAGAATCTTATACAGATCTGACTAATAATAAAAGCATTATGTTTAAAATTGTTAATCAGATAAATAAAAATATTATATAATAGGAAATAAGGAAAAGTTTATTAAGGGAAAGTATATTTGAATTAGATATTATATCATTATTAGAATAAGTAGTACTAAAGATTTGATATAATAGTATTAATGCAATTATTATTAAAGAAGAATCTATCTTAAAATTATTTGAATATGAGATCACACTATTAAATAAAAATAATTTAATAAATACAAATTAGTATAAGTGAACTTCTTGTAAAAGAGTCTACATTGCAATATTTTAAGAGGTATAAAGATATTTTATATATTTTGAAACAAATGATCAATATGAATTTTTTTTCTATCTAGTATAGAAATATTATAGGAGAATCTTATTTCTAATGCAATTATGAAGTTTTTTTTAAAATAAAGATGTTTATGACATATTTAAAATTACTTTCATATAATAATTGGAAAATTTATGACCTATCTAGGGTAAACTCTATATTCTAGCAATGCATAGTACTTCTGATTATAATCTATCAAATTTTTGGAAAATCCTATTCTCCTTTCTTTTATTTAGAAAATATAGCAGAACCAGATATAGTACATCCAGTGGATTCAGATAAGAAGTATGTTATCATTTATTTTATTTATACAGATAATATAATATTAATAAAAATATTGTATTTGATTTAGATATCTTATTTTAATTCAAGTAAAGCATTAAGAAAAGGTAAAGGTGATGTTTTATTAACTACTGATCCAAAAAAGTTTTACCATATAAGACTAAAAAAGAAGGGATAAAAAGATAAATTAGTAAATTTTGTTTATATGTTTTGATTTGTGATAACTTATAATTTTAATATTCTTTTTTCAAAATCCTATAACTAGCTGACCAGGTTAATATATAAAGATTCTTATGATAAAGTAACAAACCTGATTGGAAATTATGATGGTATTTTATCAGTTATCCAGCTACAGTGAAATTACAGGAGGAAAGAAAGTTGATACTATAGAGGGTAGAAGAATGGACTGCAATTATTGATGCAAGTAATTGTCATCATATTTTTGACCAACATCATATCAACATGTTCTATGAATTAAAGCAACCAAAAAAAAGAGATTATGATAGCCAATTAGATCATAATTCATTTAAAAAGTTAAAACTTTAATATCTCAAAAATCAATAAAACTTTTTACGAAATGATATTTGCAAAAAATAAAATAAAAAAGATCACATTTATTTGAATGATATATTTTCCTAATTGTTATTAATTTGCCAATAAACTCGTTCAATGATTAATATATTAGTTTAATCCGCGCATTTTATTAACACAATAGTAAAATTTGCCAGAATCTTTGGGAAAAAATAGCATACAGTGATAAAATCTATTATAACTGTGCCAAGTTGGCCTGGCAAACGTGAAGACTCTTCACACCTCGAAATGATGACACAGCGTAGATCACACGGTGTTTTTATCGCAGGTATTTACTCAGATGCAAATCTTTAATATAACTGATAATGTACCGTTGACATAACCTCCATTTTATTAGTAAATTTAGGTTATGAAAAACCAAGACATTTTGTCACAATCATTGTTGAACGTAAAAAAATTTATATATATATATAATTTATTTTTTAAAAAAACAACACATTATTTATTATTATTTGCCTTGCCTTTTAATGTTTTATAAGATTTTGCAAATTAATTATCTTTAAATATTTATTATAAATTTTTTTATTTTTTTTATAATTCTTAAATATTTAAAATTAGCATTAACTTATTTTTTTTTTTTTTTTCCTTTTAATACTCTTTTCTATTGTAAAAGTCTCATAATATATATATATATATTTTTAACTTATTAACAAAGAAAATTAATTTAGTAGAAGCATATTATTTCTCGAATAGCTTAATTCTGGGCGACACTATAAAATTGGGCCGAATTAACGAAAATTATTTTTAGAGTTTAGTGATACGTTACGAATAATATAACAATATGCGATATCACCGAATAATAAAGTTTTCATTCATAAATCAAATTTATTACCGTTACAAATGATCAGATTGAGAGCTTATTGACAGTATAGCGAATAATGCTCCAAACATGTATGGTTGGATATTATGTAAGATATTTTACATTCTAAGATTATTATTTTTAAAGTTTGTATATACAATTAAAAATTGAAAAATTGTTGCAATCAGTAATATTACATAAATTACAAATTACAAATTTAAAATTTGTAATAATTATAATAGTTATAAATAAAAAAACAATAATAAAACCCAATACTCTTAACTAACCTTCCACAAATTTTAATAAACTAGGTTACATAATGTATTGTGTCTTATATACAACTGTGACGATTGGTCAGAAAATAATCATTGCATAGTAACTCGGAGAATCTAGATTCGAAGACTCGTATATTTTATGATTTGATATGCTTAAGTCAAATAAATGGTCATGATTCTTTGTTTAAGTTCCGGTCATCGTTGAATCTAAAAAAAAATTGGCTGATATAATAAAAGAAACTCTAATAGAACAGGTTATTAACCGGGATTAAAAAAGTTTTTATAATGTCCTTAAATTGTCTCGAAATTCATTTGATTTATCACGTGAACTTAAAGTTTATTCTTTTTTCGTCTTTTTTTTTCGATTAAAGATACAAACAAAACATGTTCGCTTATTAGTAGAATGAAAACGCTTTGCATATGAATTATTAATTAAACCTATCCGCAAGATTCTTTATACAAATTCACCCGTAATCCTGTAATTCCTTTAATTCATACACGGACATTGATGAACCGAAGTTCCCAAATTTGAATGATCAAATCATTTTATTATAAATGTTTACCTAAATAGTAAAATATTTTATCTTATGACACATTGTGCATGAAAAGAACAAATTATTTTTCATCTATAATTAGATGATTATACATCATATGTTAGACCAACAAAGGTGTTGTACACCATTTGCGCATAAAAAACCCCCGATTGAATAATGTAGAACAGGAAAGTTACTTTTTTTGTATAATGTAATGAAAATTTACTTTTTTAGGAGATTCTGGTTACTTTTTTTGACATTTTTAATCCCCGTTGAAATGAATGAAAAAAATTCGGAACGTGCCGCTGCGCCAGAAACTTTGATCCCTAAAATAGTAAAAAGAGAAAAAACCATGATTTAACTGTGAAACCAGTTCACATAATGAAGGTTACAATTTTGCATGCATTTTTTTTTTATTTCTTTAGTTCCTTTGAAATCATCTTATGATCAATTTTCCGAAAATGTTTTTGAGGGACCAGTCTTTCAAAATGTCTTAAGGTTCAATTCCTTGAAATAGTAATAACTTAATTTTTGTGACATTATCTTTTTGATATTTTTGATATTTATATTTGATTAAGGAATACCTAAAAATAAAATAAACGTTATACATATTTATTTTTTTTTTGGTGTATCCTTGTCAAAAATGGTGATAACAGTCAAAACAAGGTTAGTCGAATGGGTAAAGTGTTTTTCCCCGATTACATCATTCAGTTTATCGATATTTGAAATCTGAAAATGCTCGAGAAGGAAAAAATTTGTGCACAAAGGATTCAGCCATCAACATAAAGTTTCAAATACGGTTTATGTTTCATTATTAATGATACGCGAAATTGTTTTTTTCTTTAAAATGAATGGTGGTGCTTTTACTTGAATTGAATCAAACGTGTACGTTTTCATTTTCATTTGTATTGTAAATCAAGCTAAAAATAAAGGTTTATCTCATAGCAGATCTGGATCTGGTGGCAAAGTAATGTAAATTTCCACATTAAAAAGATTTTCATCATTAAAAACAGCAATGTTTACTCTAAGCCCATTCTCAAACATAATTTCCTTACCTAGACACAGAACATAATGTTCATGACAAAAAATACCCGAAACTGGTGATAAAAGAAATCGCACAAAAGATTTCTCATGGGTCATTTTTATATAGCATTTTTTTTTTTTTTATTTTATATTTTACCCATAGTCTATCTAATTAAACCGTCAAGATTATTTTTTTTTATTCTTGGTCATTTTTGTGTTAAAATAATATTAAGAGGTTTTATTTTAAATTAAAGACTTTATCATATAATAAAATTATTGGAAATCAAATTGTAATTGATTTTTTTTTTTTTTTTTTTTTAAAAAAAAATACATTTGTTCGCTATAATATGCCTTGATAAATAAATAATCATTTATTGAGAACAACCTTTTCGTTTTTTTTTTTTTTTTTTTAACCAAAATGCTTCCCATGTTATCACATGGCATCAAAGTCCCTTTGTTGCCACAATTAGCAATCAATATGAGGGTCCGCCACGTTGCCACCGCAGTCGTCAAAAAGTTAGTTTTAGGATCCAAGAGTTGAACCGCGAAAAGCAGGAGGTAAAACAATTTTTTCTTTTCCCATTAGAGAAAACAAAAAAAGTTTTGAGATTTCCTTGTTTTTACAGCGTTACAGATAAAAGCTAGAAAAATCTATTCACACGTGAGTGGCAAAATGCATTTTCAGCCATAGTATTAGCCACTATTGTGACAAATTCAAAGAAAATTAGAAGTTTCTTGCAAGTTTTAAATCTAAAACTGCCAAGAAAATTAGTTACAAAAAAAAAATAAGAATTGTTTTTCGGATTTAATAAAAATAGTAACGGATGCCAAGGAAGAACTTATCAGGATCATTAAGGTTAATTACGAAAAAAAAAATATTCACCGTTTTTCTCCTTCATATATTCGATGAAAAACTTTTGGATGCAAACACACATGAAATACATATTATTTCCTTGCAAAAGTGGAAATCAACAAACCTATTTTATGCGGTCAAATAATCAAGCTTCACATGCACTTTCATGGTTGGGCTGTGAATTCAATATCCGGTTTACAACATTAAAAACGAAAAAAATTTTTAAAATTTTTCGGAAAAAAAATTGGGTCATAAAAGTTTTATCGGGTCTTCTATGAGTGACCGAATTAAATTGCAATATATTTTATTAGAGTATACAGAGAGATCTATTTATATCATAAATTATGATGAAATTTGTTTGTTACACCAAATCAAAAAAAAAAATATAAATACTCGTCAAACCGAAACAGCTTTTTCTGCAGTTAAAAATTCAATCTACAAAAAAAAATTAAAAAAAAAAGTTTTTTTATCTTTTTCTCTTTGCAAAAGTATCAAGTTTTATTCTCCTCATTATTCCATAATAAAGAAAATGCAATCAAAATTGAATACCGTGCAATCCAAGAAATCTGAACAGTCAAGACGCTCATCATCTAATAACGTTGGTAGAAGACAACTTGCGATCTCAAGAAGAGTAAACACTTATCCTTATCATAGAAGTAAAATCAATAATGAGAACAATTGTTACAAATGTGATCAAAGTGATGATTTTATTAATAGCTTAAGCACAAGAATTGCTAGAATCGAAAGTTTGGTTGACGATCTTAGTAAAACTGTTAAAGCTGCAACTCCCACTCAAAAAACTGGCCATTCTCCTTTGTCCGCTCTCGATTCTGTTAATTTATCTAAAATGAGTATCGACGAATTACTTCGTTACTCTTCTCAATTGGGAATTCGCTTATTTGGTAACCTTGATAAAGAAAAGAAATCCTCTATTAAAATCGAACAAAAGGAATCTAAAGATAAATTTTGAAATGATATTGATTTCTATTTCAAAATTCAAACAACCTCCTTCGTTTCTGCACATAAAGAACTTTATTATAAAAAAAAAAAAAAAAAAAAAAAAAAAAAAAAAAGAATCAATCATTCTTATATTTTTAAGATATAGGAATAATTTTTTTTTTTTGCAGGACGAAAATCTTTTAATACTACGAAAACATAAAGGAAAACTTATGCTTTATTTTTATAAATTATGTAGAGAGAAAAAAAATTTTCATAAAATATAGGAAAAATTAATTGTATATAATAAGCCTAAAAATAAATTCAAAAGAGCATTTTTATAAAGATGTGATTTTAGAATGACACATTCATTATAATTGCTGTTTAGTATGCTGTAAAATTAAGAGAATTTATTTTATTTTAAAAAAAGAATTCTTTTTTTTCATTTCTCCATTTGTTATGTAAATACCAATCTTCATGGTCAAACATTTATTATTATTTAGTTCTCTATTTATTTTATTTTTTTTTAGATAAGAATTTGTATTATAAAACAGGCTATTATGTACCTTTAGCTTATCTTTTTAATCTGGTGGTGACTTGTAATTTTTTTTCGTTCCCCCCTTTTTTTTTATTAATTGTATTTCTCAAATAAGTTAGATTTAATAAAATTTTATTAAAAAAAAAAAGATCTATTCATGACGAGATATTTGGCGCAGTAATACCTTCAGTAAATTGAAAAAAAAATAATTCGCAAAAAATACTTGCCGATTGGCGCAGAAATCCAAGAAAAAATAAACATGAATTTAATTAATTTGCATTTATCAAGAATTATGTCGTGATTAATGATGCAGTATAAATAAATGGTTTCGTCCGAAAGTAGGACGGACCATGCTAGATGCAAGTGCCTACACAGAATTCCCATAAAAATCATGTGATTGATCATTTTCGTTTCACATTTCTAAACAGTAATACAAGCAACAATTTAACAAAGTATAAAACGCATTTATTTTTCGTATTTCGTTGATGCGATTACAAATGAGCATTATCCCTAATTAGAAGGTGATGTAGTTAAAAAAAAACGGGGACTCAGAAATTTTCCTCGCACCGGTTTCATGAAAGATTGCCCCGCAAACTATTTTGTGGAATTTAAAGAATAATTAGAGAGTTTTTTTCCTACCGTTTCCTATGTATTAATCACTGAAAAAGTTGTTCAGTTTAAACTGTTGTAACTTCGTTAAATAAAGATTGCGTTATATTTTTTTTTTACCAATTTTGAAAGGTTACTGGTTTTTTTCGATCGACATTATATTTATCTTGGCACATGCACTAATCCTAATATCACGGATAATAAATACTATTGTTATTGAACGGGGCGTTAAAATATCCGTTCAATGACATACAATTATAATTATAATTTACATCAAAATTCTATACTATTAGATGTAATGTATAATTAATAAAAAAAATATAATTTTTTTTATTTTTTTAATTTGTTTATATAGATTTCAATCGAATTTTTTTTTTTTTTCAAGTATTAAATAAGTTTGTTAAGAATTTTATATTTACTTCTATTTATAAGAAATAATAATTGGTGGGATTATTTTATAGAATTTATTCTTTTTCAAAACATTTTTTTTTTTTTTACAAAAGTATTTTTTTATTTTAATTAGAAATATTTAATGGTTTTTTTTTTTTATTTACAAAATATTTATTTGCTTTTCTCTTTTTTTGGTTTAAATCGAAATTACTAAAACTGTAAATAAAATCTCTCGAAAAGGAGATGTAATTTATGGCTAAGCACTTTGCCTTTTAAGGTTACAATATATTTTTTTTCATTATTAGTATCGTCATCATGATAACAATTTTGATTGCGTCTTTTGGATGAATTTACAGGACCGGCCCAAGTTAAGTATCCCGGAATTAAGTGGTGCAGTGCAAGACCATGTAGTTAAACTGCTTTCGTCTCATGTTACGTAGTAAAAGATGGCGTTTTATCCCAAAAAAGGAACTAATCATGTGATAAGTGTGTTTTTTGACAATCGACTTTGGAAATCGTGTAACGACGATAGGATACTGGGAACTAATGATAGGTAGTGTAACAGTATTTTATCGGCGAAATCATGGAAAACGAATTCCGGTTAGATTATGCGTTCTGAGATTGCTAACTTGATAAGGATATTAAAATGTGCAAAAAAAAAATACTTTGTGAAAAATTAATTCCTTCTGGGCTCCTTTCTCCTGAGAACACTCCCCCTGATAATGTTTGGTTAAACATTTATATAAATTTGGAAGTTTTGAATAGTGACATAAACAACTTTGAACACATAAATAGAAATACTTCGTAGAACAATGGTAAATCATAAATCGTCGGTTTTTACACTACATTTCGAATTCTTTGATGTTCCATCAAATACCTTTAGCCACACCCTTTTTTAAGGAGGTGATGATCACGAAATGTTATAAATGATATGATCTCACGCGTTTGTACCATTCGCTAATAAGAAAGTTTTTTTTTTCGATTTCTTATTACGCGTTTAAAAATAATTATCCTTTTTCAAGATTTTATTAGAGAAATTATGTTATTTATTGCGATTTAACAAAGAATTCATGGTCTTTTTTTTTTTTTATTTTGGTTAGATTATTTTTCTTTTATAAAGATAGTTAGTTACTACCTTATGTATAATTTAATTTGAACTTTTATAATTCGAATAATTCTAGCTTCTTAAAGAATGTTCAACAAATCATTTTTATTAAAATTATAAACAAATAATAAGAAAAGTTATATATATACATATATGCTTTTTTTTTTTTTTTTGGAAAAATTTCTTAAAACTCTATCATTTTTTAACATACTTCGCTTTGAACATAATTAAATTAATTCGATCATTCTACATGTAATATACATATATATAATTAATTTTTCTTTTGTAAGATATAATGGGAAAAAAGTAACTTTCTCATTATACTTGAGTTCATAGGTATTTTTTCCAGATGGAGAACGCGTAAAAATTGAAATTTAGATATTTATTGAAAAAAAACAAATGAACGAATCTGATAAAGGATATAAGATTAATTACAAACTATTGTATAATAAATCAATTATCTACAATAAATATCAGAGTAAAGAAAAGTAAAGAAAGTGGGATATTAAACGTATCAAACGTATCAGAAGTGAAGTGAAGATTGCAAAAAAGAATGGGTAAACTCTTAAGAAGTTCTTTGATTGAATGTAATACATCTTTCCTGATAAGTTTCATACGCTCGATGAGCGATATCACAATATGCTTGCTTAACGTTTGACGGTTCGGAATTCCAATTTTTGCCATATATGAAACGAGCAATATAATTAGGTAAGGAATCAATTCCCTGTAAGACCCTTTGTCTATTACTAGCTACCTCATATGCCCTTGCTCCGTTGAAATATTTTTTTTGAATATCTCTAGTATTCATTGAAGCATTTGCTGGTGGCAAAAGGTCTGTTAGGTCTGTTATGGTGATAACAGGAATAGGTGGTGGTCGTAAACGAACAACGATATCAGGATCCATGAAAAAGGAGGGATTTTTGCGGGTAAAATTAAACTTGTTTTGATATATAGGTTTTTATGATTAAACTTATATGTTTATGATTCCTGACCTAAATTATGAAAAATTTCTTTTTCGCAAAATAAAAAAGGGTGGCGAGCAACAGATGTTGGACCATTGATATGTATATATATACCTAAAAAAAAAAAAAAAGCATTTTTGATTATCTAAAGTCAATTGAAATAAAATTTTCAAATAATGTACTTATTAACTTTAACTTATTCCAGTTTCTTTGAAAAAAATTTTCAACTGGAAATGTATTATTACAAAAACGTACCGTTATTTTAGGAATTGCATTGTAAAAATGTTCATTGTCTCAAACTTCTCATTGTTTGATGACAATGTTGATCTTTTTCCGTTTCTAAATACCGTTTTTTTTTCTAAAAAAAATCTGATGTAGCACCATCAATGTTTTTTACATGTAATTATAATCCTTTTTTTGACCCACAATAAGCTTTCAAAATTTATCAAAAAGGTAAGTTCAGATGCAAGTAAAAAAATTTAAGTTTGTTAATAAATGAAATTACAAAAACGAAACCTTCTTTTTATTTTAAATTAAAATTTCAAAAGTTTTTTCCGTTACCGAAACTGTTTTTCATCTTATCGTGCTATTCTGATTCATTCAATGAATTTACTGCTAATTGATTCATCACACGTATTAGAATTCGCAAAAAGAAAAAGAAAAAAAAAAACAGCCAAAGATAAGAATGTACATTGCTTTTCTTTCAATAATTTCTAAAAACATCCATCATTACAACGACCATTTGTACACCGATATAACCGTTTGGTTTGAGATAAAGTAAAAATTTTTTTTTTTTTCACACGAAATTACAAAACATCTTAGAACGCGTAAAGCATGCATGTTTGTCAAAGCCGACATGTCGTGAAATCGTTATATGTCTTGTTTACAACAATAATTAATTTCTCATTGATTCTTAAAAAATAACCGTTTTCTCGTAATAAAATCCTCGTGCTACCGTAAGCGCGTATTTCCAAGTAACAAAGAAGAAAGAAATGGTTTAATTATGTTACACCGATATTCTAAAAACTGATAAATGACTTTCAACCTTCATTGAGAGTATAAACAATGCAAACCAGTAATTTCAGTAATATTATTTTAATTAAAAAACAAAATAAAAAAATTATATTCTCGAATATTTCAAGTTATAATTAGCTTTATAATCGAAATTACATTTTATCTTACAAATTCATAGTATTCATACATTACGAGCTTACTTCGAGATAAACTCCCTTTTTTTTCACAAAAACGTGAGAAAATTCATGTATCATGATGTCTGAAATCACGCAACCAAACAAATCTTTTATACTTTCGAATTTCTTTTTTTTTTTAATTTTTTCGATAATGGGGTAATCAGGGCTTAATTGACATAACATAAGCATGATTTCGATCGTAATCAGGATTTCATAATTATCAACCATCGTCTCTTGATTATTAAGGAATTTTCCGCAGTAATCGGCAACTGCAAAGAAAAATTTTAGGCTGACTGGTAATTCCGATTTGGACAATGTTTGTTGCACGAAAATCATTGTAAATTAAAATTTAATAACTTTTTTGTTCAAAAAACGAATCAACAAATTCCTTTTCCCGTAAAATTTTATTTTCAACAAAATTAAGAAATGACCTCTCAAAATGACGGAGGGAGAATCATTTTGAACGTTGGTGGCATCAAGGTAACTTCTTACTTCACGGGACAATTTTTCTTCAACTTTTTTTTTTTTTTGTTCCTTTTTTTTTCTTATATTTTTATTATTATTATTGGTTCGTAGTATGAAACATATCGAACAACGTTAACATCATATCCAGATACGTTACTTGGCACCATGTTTCAGGAGAGAAATAAAGAACTTCTTAGGCCTAATGGAAACGAATACTTCATTGACAGAAATGGAAAGGCATTTCATTATATAATGGAATTTTATCGTACTGGTAAAATTCTTTGGTTAGGGTCAAACAGTCCTATAACAAAGCAAGAATTGAAAATAGAAATGGATTTTTTTCAAATTCCCTGTTCACCCCGTTCATTATCGACATCGGTATTACATCATAATTCCTTTCCAACATCGGAACAATGCGAGGAAATGTTACAAGACTTTATAGAATCTTTAAAAGCTTGTATTTATGAAACAAGTTGGAACTTAAGAAGTTATATTAATATTTCCTTTTATTCTTCTTCTCTTAAAAATAATAATCATGACGTTGCCAGTGATGTTGTTAAAAGGATTATCGGTATTGATCCTTATATTGAACAAATTGAAAACATTTTAGAACCTTTTAGAATTAGTGGTTATGAGTTATTAAAAAAATTTGAGTTGGAGATTGAAGAGGAATTAAAAAAGTCGATTCAAGAATTGAAGAATTTAGAAATTTCTCATCAACCAAAGTGGAGTGGTAAGGATTTTACTATCTCTCCTTATTATAGTGTGACTGTTAAATTAGAAAATCCTATTTATAAAAACAAATGACACCTACACCATTTTTTATTAATTACAAAAAAGAAAAAAAAAAAATAACAATTCACTTGTTTTTTTCTTTTTCTTTTTATTTTTTTTTTAAATTATTTATTATATTAATCCTTCACGTATTTTTTTTTTTAAAAAAATTATTAATTAATGTTCAGTTATAATAATAACAATCACAATAAATGAAAAAAAAAAAAATTTTTTTTTCTCACTAAAAGGAAAAAAAAAGGGGTAGACAAAGATCTCATTTATCTTTATACATATATACCTTTACAATTTTTTTTTAATGAAACCTAGCAAACCAAACAGGTAAAAGTTTTTTGACCTTTTCCCTGTCAGCTTCAATCATTCGTTCGTCATCAATTCTAGCGATGCTGTGTCTGCCGCTTGTCAAATGCCTGCAAATTCCATCATAATTGTGTAGTTTTCTTGTAGACTTCCAACATAATCTACACTTGAAGAATTCTTTATCCTCAACTTCTTTTTCAATGAGATTCATACATCCCCTTACACTCGTAAACGGTCCAGGTCGCTTGAACTCTGGATTCTTTAATAATTGTCGAGCTTCCTTACGAAGTTTTGGAATCAAGACCTTGATCAAATATTCTTCGGTCCAAGGAATGCTCTCATCATTATTTACATACGGAGGGTTCATAAATGATGGACACCATTGAATACAATCTATAACCGGATCGTTTAAATAAATTTGATAACCTTGTTCCGGTGAAGTTTTAATATCGGATGCTAAAGTGTCATATGACGTTATAAGCGATAACATCATTTCGGTCATTTGTTGAAGCCTATGCATCTTATTCAAAACCGTCGGATATTCCATCTTTAGCCTATCGATAAAGGTTGGCCAAGGGTGTGTCATGAATGGAATCTTCCAGGTACCCTGAGCTTCGAGACAGGCGGGTAGTTGAAAAATATATTTATCAAGATATTTTTGTTGTCCCTTTTCATCCTTGATCTGACGGAATTCGTCTAAAAGGGTTCTAAATATCCTTTCATCATCCAAGGATTGTTTTTTAAAACACAATTCATCAATCCTTTCCCGTTTCTCAACCTCTATAAGCATTTCTGCAACCCAAAGTTTCTTCTTTTGTATCCACGCACTACGTAGTTTTAGTGGATTTGACATACATTCTCGACGCCCTTGTTCTAAATGCTCACCCCAATATGCGGTGATCTTTTCGTTCGAATTGGAGTCAAACGCGTTAATACGTTCATATGGCACAAGCATTGTGATATCAATAGGTAACTTTGCCCATTTCGGAAGGTTTTCGGAACTATTAAGATGATGTTAAAAGCGACTGATTAGTCATGAAACCGATCGTTTTTCTTTTTTTTTTTTAAAAAAAATACAACTCTGATATGAATTGCATACCTTATTATTCGTTTCCTAAGACATTCTCGACAAGATCTTACCCGAAAGGCCCAATAAACTTTAGGTGTTTCTTTCTTTGTCCCACAGAATTGACATCCTCGTTCTAGCATCGTTAGCTTGATGTATGTTGATTCTTCCATTCCAACTGGTGGGCGTAACTTGATCCTTTCAAGATATTTCATCCTTGAAGTGCGCCAAATATCTTGCGTCACGTATGAAGCAGAGGAATTTAACCAAAAACGAAATTGTTTGCAAACGCACATCAAAGAAAATAGCGATGCCGGGGAAAGGTGATAGCATACTTCGATAAAGATATCGATGGGTATGCTCGCGTTGAATGATGGTGGGACTCGTGGCTCAGCGCTTTTCAAGTGGGTGACTTTCGAGGATACCGTAGCGATAGCTACTTCGCTTAATGATATTTTCGCATCGCAAATTTCATTTGGAGGGGTAATGGCATCATTAATCAGGATAAGATCTTTTGTGAAAATCTGCTCATCACATTCTTCTTCCGCAACGGTTGTTGCAGGCGCAGTAATCGACGGGGAGCCATGTCGTATTTCATTGCCTTGAGCGTCCGGTGGAGAGGCTCTTTCGAACGCTTCCGCGAACCGAGAGGTGCCGTCACTCTTCTCGTGACCTATTATTTCTGATACACACGATAAAGTTGATGATGTCACCGGGTTGTAACTTTGTTCCGTTTCGACAGAGGCGGGCTGTGCGTCCTTCTCTTGAGGGGAATCCGTTGATAATTTTAATTCATTTACAAAATTAGACATGAATGATGAAACCGGTGAACTATTTTGTTCTATTGTATTGAGATTATATGCATCAGTATTTAGACACGAATGTGAAACGTTGGGAATTATTTGTTGATGTTCCAATGAATTCATCTCCCTTGTAGGAGGTGTAGGACATTGCTTTTTAAATAAATCAAGACCATCGTCATCTAACTCAACAGAATAACTATTTGGAGGTTTACTTGAAGAAAATTTTTGCCTTGGATTCCGTTTCCTATAGTTTGTTCCAATTATATCGTCTAAATCATAAGAACTAGAATTATCAAGTGTGGAATTATAAATATTATAATTTATTTGTTTGTTTGTGATCTCACTGATGGTTTCATCTATAAACTTTATTCCCAGAAATTTATCAAATTCATGAAATATTAGATCAAATAAAGAAATTAATATGCGAAACGGGATAGTGAAAACGGTTTGTCTAAATATAAAAGAATGTCGAAAAATAGCGATCATTGAGGCCATTTTATTATTATTATTATTATTTATTATTTCTTTAATAGAACTCTTTAGATGGCTCAATGCTTTGTCGATAAGCGCATAATATACAAAAAAATCTCTTTGTTAAAAAAAAAAAAAAAGAAAACCTTGGCCAAAGTTATATTTATATGTGTATGTATGTATATAATAAATAAATAAATAAATTGTATATATATATTTCTCTTGAAAAAGACGACCAGATTTTTAAATGGTCATAAGGAGAGAGAAAAAGGAAAGAAAGTGAGAGTAATCAAGCAATGAATAAAAATAAAAAAAAAATGCCAAAAAAAGGATTCCATTTTTCGATGATTTTGTTTAAATTTTATTAATTATATTGCCCTGCTTGAGAATGTTCAGCGGTGTTTTATTGGTGACACGTAAATAAAACGAAATTGTTTTTTTAATAAATGCATGTTTAATAAATCGGCCAATGAATTGGGTTTTCTAGAATTATTTTATTGTACAAATTTACACGATGTTAATAAATGTCACGTGAAATGTACTTGTGAACCAATAAAGATTTCGCATGGTACCTATTATTATATAATTTTTATTCTATTTTTTTTTTTTTTTTTTTGTAAACAAACAATAACTAATTAACTTATTGTATGTTTTCGTTTTGTGCATTGGTCTATACGGAAATTCGTGTAGAATATCAATTTATTATTTAAAGTTTTTTTTTTTTTTGTGCGAAAAGTGGGGGTGTGTGTTTTTAAAAGGAGAATTAACCAAAATTGATCTGCAACCTTACCTTTTCAATGAAGACAAATAACTTTCGTTTCTTAAAAGGAAATGTACTTTTGTTATTTATTTGGGGTTTCCCTTATCACCTCGAAAGGGTTTGTTTGTACATACATTAAAAATGACAAATTTTTTTTTTTTTTTTTTTTTTTGTAAATCTTTTCTGATGCCCGTATCGGTGTGGATCGGACATCAACTCAAGAACCAATCACATTAAAAAGTATTTTTTCTTTACCATATTCGAATAAAAATAGAATTAATGTGTCAATCAAACAAAAAAAAAAAATGCCAAGAAGCATTTCATTTGTGGCTTTCATAGCCAAGATTCTGCTACCATTTATGGCTTGTTAAAAAACCGTTATATCCAACAAACAATTAACCGAGGATTTAACCGAGTTATCCATTATGTTGAATTATTTTTGAGGGCGGTTGTTTATATTTTCAATCCAGAATGGACAAAATTTTTTGTTTGTTAAAAAAAAAAAACTTTCTTATTTTTAAATGAAGCCACACATGAAATGGGATTTTAAGCAAAATACAAGTTACCTAATATTTTATGTAAATGGGTAGAAAAATAATTCTCGTTTTTCCTAAAAAAAATAAAAATAAAATTTGTTTCATTAATTTTTTACATAAAGGATTCGATAATTCAAAGGTTTGAAACAACATCAAGGGATTTTATGAGTTTTAGGATACTTTCGATTCGGGTGTTATTGGTTGCCTAGTTCGTTTTCTCGAAGATTTCTTTGTTTTATAACTACAATCAAAAAAATTTTTTTTATAATTGGCCAAAGTATTGTTTTCGGTTTTTTTCTTTGACAAAATAATGTATCACCGAATCTAAAACATCACGAGCCCTTAATTTTGGTAAAAAATGGATTAGTCTTAAGAATGGTACCGACACTAAAATTAGTTGGCGTTAAGGTTCAGCCCAGAAGAGATTCGCCTGGCAATGTGATGATTATTAAAACTCGTTTCAGAGATACAATCAAGTTGCATTGTGAGATAGGATGTGTAACTGCATTCATCACATGTGCGTCATATGGTGCATCAACAAAATTTATATAAAATCTATTGCTTTTATTCCATCTTTGATTTTTCAAATCCCTTCTTAAAAACTCAATTATTTTGTCAAAAAAGTAATTCCTTTCATCAAAAAAAAAAAAAATTTCACAAACAGTATATAAAAGATGGGTATTTTGATGTCTTCCCCACCACATGAGGATGTTGACATCCCCAAATACTTAATTAAAGCGAATGGGAAAGAAAAGGTGAACAGATGGAAGATTCCAGTAGGTTTAACGGATAAAGAAACCAAAGCTTTGAAATCATTTAAAAAAATCGCATATCGGTATGATGAAAATTGTTGTTGTGGTTTCGGTTTAGATCCTATTCTCGGTAAGCGTAGTAAGACATTTTTCTTAATTCGATTTTTTATTTGAAATTTTAATGTTAACTTTATTTCGTCTTTAATAAAAGGGCTAGTACCAGTAATAGGAGATTTCTTGGGAGTTTGGTTATCATTGATGTTAATCAAATCGGCTAAACGAACTGCGGAAGATTCTCAATTTCAAAATAGAGATCTTGTAGAAATGCTTAGTAAGATGACTTGGAATATTGCAAAGGATGTTGGGGTAAGAAAGAAATTAGCGTTCGTTGTATTATCTTTATCCCCCCCCCCCCCACGTTTTTTATGTCATTAATTAATCATTATCCTTTTTACTTTCTTAAAAAAGGTTGGCTTTATACCTATTATAGGGGATTTCTTTGATTTCTTTGTTAAAGCAAATACGACCAATGCAGAACTCTTCCAGTACTATCTTGTCAAACATTCAAAGAATAGATCAATGGTGGTTGATCATCATATGGTTGAAGTGATTTCCCATACCAGCTAACCTTTCCCGCCTAACAAATAATTATAATCCTATAAATAGTTTCAAAAATTCCAGATTATAAAATTTGTGGAGGAAATAATAACACTAATAATAATAGTACCGATAATAAATGATAATAATAATAATAATTAATAATAATTAGAGGAACTTCATTTGTATTTATCATTCATTCATATCTTCTCAATATCATAATTTAGTAAATTTCATTATCAACATCCCCCTTATCAATTTTAAATATTTTCCGTTTAAATATAAATATTTTTGCATATATAATGATTTCAATAAAAAAAATTTTAAACTGGTTTACATCAAATGTAAGTTCGCGTAAACATGATTGTTGGTGAAACGTTAACAATGCATTAACATGTGCCGCGTTTCTCCTTCAGAAGGAACGGAACGAAGCTAGAGATTCTAAAAGGACATCCAATTTTCCTTGATATCATGGTATGCTTTGATAAAACCAATGAATGGTTAGTTACATAAAAGGAATTCATAATTTGTTCAACCCATGAGATTCAATCCGTTCTTTTTGGAGGAAGAAGAAAAAAAAAAGTCTAATTAATATTTTGAAAAAAAAAATCTCACGAGCACACAAAGATCTTCTACATAAAAGAAGAAAATCTTGTTCAAATTCTCGTTTATTCGAAAAAAAATTATTTGACAGATATCAAATCCACGATTATCGTGAAATTGAAATTTTGGTGAGAAAATCTGTTGTGTTGCGAAAAGGATTCTGACTGAACAATGATAACATTTTGTTGGGATTCCTAAATTGGTAACGGTTGCTTGATTATTTGTAACACGGAAAATTCTTCGTGTTTTAACTTCAGAAATAATCCTCCAAACCCCCAAATTCTCATGGGTTACTTTTACAACAATTGGAACATAATATACTTGATCATGTGATTACGTAAATGAACCCTTTTTTTCTATTCAATCGTTCACATGTTCTCGCTTTATGATCCTTTTAGTTTTATAATAAGAAAAAAATTTTTTTTTTTACTATCAATTTTAATTCTCTTTCGTGGAAATTAGTATCCGTTTTTCGGCATTTTGTAAAAAAATCTTTATCATGTCATTATTTAGTATAATTTTCGTGACATACTGATTACAACACTTTATTATATATAACCATTTAATGTTACAACAAAAATTTTCAAAATTTTGATAAACTAATTTTTTTTTTTTCCTTCCTTCCTGTAAACTTTTTTTTTACTTTTTTTTTTTTTACATTTTTATCAAAATATCTTTAATTTTTTTTTTTTCCCTCACAAATTAAAGTTATTACGATTTAAAACATGGAAGGATGTAATGATCCACATTCATCATCGTCTTCTACGATACCTTTTACGGGCGCATGCCCTACATTAGTTCATATGCCCGTTGACATATTCATTGAAATTTGTTGTCACTTACCATACGTTGACTTATTCACCATGATGGGAGTTTGTCGACAATTTCATTACTGGTTGCACTCTACAACTTCACATATAACACAAGGTATCTGGCGCACTTCAAGAACAAAGTTCGAAGAGCACATGAAATTAGATCCACCTGAAGGAATGGATGAAATTTCCTTTATAAAATTATCCATGGTTGAAAGGAAATGTCAAATATGTAAAAGTGATCAGGAAATACCAAATATATATTGGGCTTTTCGTGTTAGATTATGTCGACCGTGTTTTCGTCGAAGGATTACGATGTTAGTAAGCAAGCTGATGCAAAAAAAAATTGAATGATCAAATTCTCTCCTTTATTTTTATCCCCCCAAAAAGGCGTTTTCCTTAACTTCTTTCTTTCCCTATTTGTTTCACTAAACAGAGCTCCTGATAACATCCCTGAATGGGCTAAAACACCGATTGACATCACCCTTGTTTTACCCCATGAACATTTAAGTTCGATGCAGACCAATGTAAATGTTGTAAAGAGCGTATACCTGACTTCAGACCTCGTAAAGACTCTACGAGAATGTCATTCGGTACCACCGGAAGAACTTGGAGATTGGATCTTTAAAAAGCAATTAATCGCACAAGGCAAGATTGAAGACGCTGCAAAGCGAGGGGAAAATGATAAGAAAAGGTTAACATGGTTGCTTAATGAAAAACAAGAGTTTCTACGAAAGACCGTTCAAAAGCTTGAAGATACTACTGATGACTTTGGTAACAAAATTTACTTTAATCGAACAATCTTGATTCAACCTTCATATAAAAAGGCTAATGATTCATTGAGGATACCTTTTATGGATACGGATCCTTGGCCGAATTTATATGAAAGGTTAAAAAATGATTATAATGATTGGAAGAAAAATAATCTTTTAATAGTTCAAAATCAAAATCGAAGGTTAATTATACGTAGGATCATTCAATTGATCACTTCTTATAGGAGACTATCTGATATAATGGATTTAAAGAGTGGGATTTTTTTAAATGAACCGGTACTCGATTGTCTTGAATGGTGTCCGTCGTTCATTAAACCTCCAGAGGTGATAACTGACATGGACGATGTGGTTCGACAAATAAGGAATGAAGCTCGTGAATATATAAGGAACAAACGACATAGGCGTTATGGACCTTTTTCAACAATCGAAGGATGCATTTCGCTTTTGACGCAATGCAATGAATACGCTCGATTATTCAAGTGTAAATTATGTTGGGGTTCCGGCAGAAAATCTTATAATTACACCGAGGTGACTAGACATTTAATGTGTCAAAGTACACATAATTTATATTATTCTGATGTCGATGATTCTATGATTGAGCTGGATTTTGAAAGGGTGAAAAAACTTATGCCAAGATGGTTTGGCATAGTATTAAATAGGATTATAAAACCAATTAAATGAAAAAAAAAAAATCTTCGACGTACAATGTACGTGCATTCTATATGAAAAAAAAAACTTTGCATTTTATCTTTCAGAAGAAAAAAAAAAAAAATTGTAGATTAGGTGTAAAGTACCTATAAAAAGGTGAAAGCATTATATTTTATATTTAGCATACAAACAACAAGATACTATTTATGTAACCACTGCTTCATTAAAATTTTGCATGGCTTCTGCGCATTTCGTGGGATCGTATTAATAAGTACCAGATCCCTGTAAATCTCAATGAGAATAGGTTTAGAAATGGTACAAACTCTTTTAACTATTCTTCAATAAGTATCAATAAGTATAAGATATACCTTGGACCCTTATGAGGGTTTCGGGGTGATCAAATCAAGGAAACCATCTCCTTTGAACGTAACAGCTGATCTGTTTACTGTGTAACATGAGGCTAAACTTCTGAAAACTTGTTGCTTTCCCTTTCCTTGATAGAAATCCTAATCCAAGGTCGGACAAGAATTATTTAAAAAATCGCTTACATATTTCTTAACATCTAATCAACATATTAAAATCTTTTTCAATTAAATGAACAAATTCGTTTTAACTATTGACCACAAATTACGTTATCTAATTAATTAGTAGCGAGTTGTTCTTTTTGAAATAAATACAAAATCATTTTATTTTTCATTTAAATTTTATTCCACAACTCAAAAAAAAATTTTATCTCATTTTAAAATATTATCCCAGTTACGGAATTTTTCTATCTGTAACCTATTTTTCGCCATTTAGGGTTACAACTACTGTTCTTCCAGATGCGTAATTTCTATGTTCGCATAGCCAAATGCTTAAGAGAAAAATATGGTAAAGGGATGATTAAAGAATGATATAGAGAACATCAAAAAAAAAAAAAAAAAAAAAAAAAAAAAAAAAAAAAGAAAAAATGTCTACCCTTGCCAAGTACCAAGATTTAATTTACCATTTGTAATGGGTATGTTCAAAGAAGCACCAAACAAAGCACTTTTAATGTGTGCAGGCTTGCAATTTGATCAAAAAAGAGAAAGCCAAGGAACAAAATAAAAATAAAAATAATTAAACAATCAACAAATTTGGTCACACACACAGAGACGATGATCGATAAAATTTTACCATATCGTCAGATCCTTCGGCGGTATGAATGTATGGGAAATTTTCAGGGACAATTTTGTTTAACGCCATCTCCATGTCTGTCCTTACATCTGGATCAACATTCTCGTTTAAACAAAGCGAAGCGGATGTATGTGTAACTTTGCGTTTAAAGGAACAAAAATTATTCTTGGAGTTTCAGATTATATGAGATAAAAAAAAAGGAAGGCTTACTAAAAATATTGGCCATTCCTATCCTAAAATTTTGAATGTCGGGAATTTGCTTCTCAATTTCCTTGGTGATTAGATGACATCCACGCGATTTGGATTTTAAATATAAGGTTTTTTGAAACCACATTTTTTAAAAAAAAAAATACATTAAATGCTTTGAAAACAATACTTGTTTATATACATTTTGCAAATGTGATCCTGCGTCACCGTTTGGTAATTTATCAAAAATAGCATTTAAAATTACACGTAATTCCACCAAATTCGGTGACTACTTTAGATGTGACTTATAAAGACTAACGAAATATGATTATAAAGAGGAGTGACTATATTATTTGTGTGACTATATGGAGGTCTGATATTGAATCAACTTTTCGTCTCTCGTGTCATACGCGTCACGTTTTAATATTACTGATCACGTGAGAAACATATATTACGCAAGCTTTTCTTACGTAAAAAATTTTTTTTTCACAAATTTTTTCTTTTTCCAGAATATCCATAATGTCTTCAAATCAACCAAGCTCTTCTTCAAAAACACCACAACAAGCCGATAATGCTGGTGGTGATAAACAACAACAGCAACAAACTCCGGCGCAAAAAGAAACGATACCGCAACTTGGTGCTTTAGAAGAAGACGACGAATTTGAAGAATTTGCTTCCGAAGGTATGCAGTTTATTTAATTGTGATAGATTATCGTTAAATAATATACGTGTAATGAGCCTGTAATTTTGGAGACGTTACATGTCCATTTTTGGTTAGAAGTTGAGAAATGGGTAAATTAGAGTTCTTAGATTTATTTTAGCGTACGTCGATGACACTTTAGTTTGAGGATTGCGTAATTGGAAGTGTAAGAAATGGGTTGTGAAATTTTATTAAAGAATCCATTGACATTAATTCAAATTTGGTCCCTTTCATTTAATTTTGCGCTTGATACATTAGATTGGAATGAAACAGAAGAAGATCAAGAAACTCATTTATGGGAAGACAATTGGGATGACGAAGATGTTGAAGATGATTTTTCCAAACAACTTAGGTTCAGTAAATTAAATTCAATGCTTTTTTATTCTTCGCGTTTTTTTTTTTTTAAAAAAAAAAATCCTTATTAATTCGTTCCCTTATTGTCTGATGATATAGATTAGAAATCACAAAAAATAGTGGTAACGCACCAACACCTATGAAAATTTGATATGGCGATAAATAATAATAATAATAATAAAGAAATCTTAAATTCAAAAAAAAAAAAAGATGAATTAATCAAACTGGAAGTAATTTCTGTACAAGTGTTAATAAAAAGCGATTTTCCGACATTATAGTATTTTTTTTTTTTTCTTAAAAAGATTTTTTATATATTTTCAGATATTTAAAAAAAAAAAGTATTTTTTTTTATTATTGGTATTCTTATATTAATTTATATATAATAATATTATTACTGCTACTTTAAAGGTTTTTTTAGTGAAGAAATTATTCACTATGGCATTAAACTAAAAATCTAATTCTATTTAAAAGAATAGTGGATATAAATAATAATCATTTTCCACTTCGAGCAAAGGATGGTAAAAAATAAAAATAAAAATGAATCAAAATTTAGAAATTTCGAGTGTATTTTTCAGCGAGTTTTACCCGATCTTTTTTTGGGTTGAGGAAACTTGAGAGGCGCGTTCAATACAGCACGTTTAGGTTGAACATTTTTTCCGAGTTCATTTATTTCTTTCTTACTCAAGTTCTGGATCGTACAACCAATACACTTGAACAAATTGTTAAGTCTAACAAAAAAGAATGAAATTAATAACGTTTATATAAATCGTAAAATTTCTAGTAAATGAAATTAAACACCAACTTAATTGTTGTAGTACGCAAATCTTCGCTTATCGGAACAGGATCCACATGATACTTGTCGAGTATCAAACACAGAACCAACATATAACAGATCAATTTCTGTTCATTTCTCTCGGTGAATTTTAAACTAACGAAAAATTATTAAATAAATATATATCAGAAGTGAAAAACAAATTTATCGAATTAACTACCTTTGATTTCCTCCGATCTTCTTAAAAGCACGATAGACGAAACGTTCATATAGTTTATCCAAAATGATATTTGGAGGACTTCTCAGCTTTTCTGCCATCCGTTGACGGTTTTGTACATTGTCGAAAGCGTGTGACCTGAACGCCATCAGATAGTTGATGTACATGAGTATCCTAATACGCTTATGATTTACTTTTTTGGCCGTCAATGAAGGTAAGAGACGCGATTTGACGTAATTTGATTCTCTATTAAAAAGAGAAAGATTAGCTCGAGATTAGATTAATTAAAATTATCTGTACAATTAATATCACATACGGATATGGTAAAAGTGCTATTCTATCTGTTTCGGTCTTCGCTAAAAGCAAGGCATGAATGTCAATTGCGGCTAGTTCCGCTGGAGTAATGATGTCCTCCCAATTATAGATCTTTGACGGGTCTGTCGTGGTTTCGTCAAATGGAGGAATAATACTATCTTCCTTCTTATGTTCCTCTGTTAACAAGCAAAACAAGAAACGATTAAAAAATATTGAATATTAAACTATAAAGGCAAATTAAAAATCACCATTGGCAGGCTTGCTCTTGGCCTTTTCTTCAACTCCTGCCGCAATTTTATCAAGATCACGAACTTGCGATATATCGATCTGTCCTCTTTCTCGCGCGGAAATTTTTGATCGAACTTTCTTTGAACCGAACTCTTTATCAAGAGCCGTCTTTGCTGTAACGTACTATTTAAAATGTATGTAAATAAGCGAAATTATTAAATAAAAAAAAAAGACGCGAATTTAATCTTGTTACGTCTTGAATCGGTTTTGGTTCTTCTCGCTGTTCAGATTTCAAACGTTTCGGAACAGGAACTATATCTGCTTCGTTTACCCCCTGGAAAGTCACCGTGTTCGAATATTTATTATAAATAGCAATGACATATCTTTGCACGTTAGGCCATAATGTTTGTTAATTAGTTTAAAAAAGGTTAAAATTTAGAATTATATTGAATATACAATCGAAACAACTTACTCGCCTGTTTTAAGATGCTCTTGTGGTTGAACGTTTGACTCGAACGAAATAGCATCATCTTCTCCAACAATGATTCTGTGATTATTAGATTTATCAGCTGTCCTTCCATACGAATTAAATAAAATTTCCTTGGGTGCCAATGAAATCCCAGTAATCGTCCCTATGAAAGAATTGAATTTTAATTAAGACGTTAAGAAACGCATAAATTATAATTAATATAATCACCTAAAGAAGGAGCTAGTTCAGTAGACCTCTCTTTATTTTCTTCTAAAATGACATTAAGCTTTCGTTTCTCTCCTAAGAGAATTTGTTAAATACAATTTTATGATTGTTTGCTGACTTAACAAGAACAACTTATTGACCATTACCTTTCTTTAATTTTTCTACATTTCCTTCCCGCGTTTTATTTGATTCAAAATGCATCGCTTTACTACCAGAAGGAGCCTTCGAAGAGTTGCTACCTCTTTTGGCTGGTCGGATTTCTGGGTGATCGACAGTAAGATCTATTATTGGCGCAGTAATTTCGATATCTACGTCATCACCAGTCGAAGCGATAAGTTGTTCCTTTGGCGAGGCATTGCTTTTGACATTCTTATATTTTTTCTTAATCTTTCTCAAGAGCTGGTCAATTCTCTCGTCCTCTTCATCGCTATCCACATATGATTCGGTATATGTGCATTTATTTCTCACTTGAGAACTTTGTACCTCTGTAACTGTAATATTAAACATTTCTCGAGCACGTCGTGCTGCTTCTTTTGCAGCTCTTTGATAAATAACTCTAAGTATATTTGAATCAAATCTGAGCCTAAATTGTGGTTTTCTTTTATTATTAGAGGGATGACCTGGATTTCTAATCTTTGATAAGTGTTCTTTAACTATTTGTCTAATAGAAGGAGGCAAGAAGAATTCATCAGAATGATTTGACATCTCTAAATACGTTTTCTGTGTAGGATTAAACCATGAGTGTTTTTAATCAAAAAGTAATAAATTTTTTTTACAAAACCAACTTTGGAACAAAAAAGTCTAGGGTGCGATTGGTCAGCTAAATTATGTGATCGACAAATCCATCTAAATAATTTTTTTTTCATGTTTTCATCTTACTTTCGTTTCCGTTTCCGTTCTTTCTCACACTTCCCGGTTCCAGGTAATTGCCTATCTTCGATGATCACACGAGTTAAAACCATAGATCCGTCAACGATACAATTTTCTTCAGACGATATTGAAGATCCACAAGTTCATGTTACGGATCCAGTTACTTTATCAATTCTTAAAGAGGCAGCTAAATTGCTCACTGAAGATCAAGTAATAGCCATACCAACCGAAACAGTTTACGGTTTAGCCTCAAATGCTTTATCTCCAATTGCAATAAAAAAAATTTATTCGGTAAAAGATAGACCTTCAGATAATCCATTAATTGTACATGTTTCTTCATTAAAAATGTTAAGATCTTTACTGCCACCAAAAGAAAATAGTAATATTGGTGAAATTCCATTAATATATGAACAAATTATTAAAAACTTTTGGCCAGGTCCTTTAACTATTTTATTACCCAAATCTTTACTAATACCTTCAGAAGTAACTTGTGATCAATCAACGGTAGCAATGAGATTTCCTTCACATCCAATCACGAGAGCTTTAATATCATTATGTGGATTCCCCTTAGCAGCTCCTTCAGCGAATGCTTCAGGAAGACCATCACCTACTTTAGCATCTCATGTATTAATGGATCTTAATGGTAAGATATCATTGATTATTGATGGAGGACAATGTAACCACGGAGTTGAATCTACTGTTTTTGATGCAATAGGGTCTCAAGCACCGGTTATATTACGACCTGGTGGATTAACTTTTGAATCATTGAGAAGGATGCCCGGAATGGAAAACATTAGAATTTATAATAAGGATTTCGTTGATAAAAAACTTGAAATGGTTCCAACAACACCAGGAATGAAATATCGACATTATTCTCCTAATGCTCAAGTGATTTTAGTGGACGTCTGCGATAAGCATAAATCCCATGATATAATGAAAAGAGAAATAAGACAAATGGGAGAAAATGGCGAAAGAGCTATTGGCATTCTAGCCACAAGAACATCCTACGTTACCTCAAATGAAGAGAATGGAAAAAAGAATGGGAAAATAATATCTAGCGATGATCATGTGTTTTCGAATGTGAAATCAAATTCACGAGGAACAATTAAAATCATAGAATACACTTTGGGTGATTCAACGCATCCCGAACAAATTGCAAAAGAGTTATTTAAGGGTTTGAGATATTTGGATGAACGTAACGTAGATTGCATAATTGTCGAGGGGATCCCTGAGAAAGAAGAAGGTTTAGCCATTATGAATAGGTTAAGAAAAGCGGCATCGAAAATTATTGGTGAATAAAACCTTTTGACGGGTTAAATCAAATAATTCTTTCACCCAAAAATAACCTGACCAAAATTTTTATTCAATACGTTTAACAATTACATATGGGAAAAAAAAAAAAAAACCAATTGCCATTATCTAATAATTACAAGATTTGAAATAAACAAAAAGAAAAAAAAATTGTTACAGATGTATCCTCCGAATTGACCTATATTATACATTCCTTCGTTTCATAAATAAAATATATCCTTAAAGCGATTCCCAAAGTTAATCAGTCTTAGCACTCAAACTCATCTCATCAATCAGCGAACTTAGCTGATTGTCTATTTCTTCGTCTACTGAATCTAGTTTATCATCTACAGATTCCAAATGTTTACCACACCTTAAATCAAATAAACAAACCGGAGGAGAACTATCGATAAAAAAATCTTGAGCTCGTTTCCTTCGCCCAGGAATTGCGGGAGAATTTGAAATAAGCTTTGATACTTTCCAAGCGTACCATAATGCTCCCAAAAACCATTCAACATCTTCCATTGTATAAGATGGATCTTCATCGAACTTTTTTGAAGAGGTGATAGAATTTACTCCACTCCAAACCGAAGGTCTTTTAACATCGCCACCAATTTTTGCATCAACTTTTGTCCCAACCTGAATAATTATAATTAATCAACAATGATTCTAAAGAACTGTACAATAAAATTCTGTTCGTACCAATTGCTGAGGTTCTAAGAATTCACTAAAACGTTGAGCGCGACTTGCGCGTCTTGCAGCTTCATCTGGATCTGAAGCAATTGAAGAGTCCATTATAATACTAGAACTACGCGTCTCATTGCTTTTCCACTTTTTTTCTCCTAAAAGAATAAAAGTTTCAACTAAGATATAATTCGTTTTTCCTGATATAAAATTATTACTAAAAATAATAATTTACTATTTAGAACATCATTACAATTCTTACTTCTATCATGTCCTTTCTGTTCCCGGTTACCTCCAGCATTATTTTTTTGGTTGCGATTATTGTACTTACGATTCATAATTATATCTTAATAAATGCTGCAAGATTTGGACACCAATCAAAATGATATATGATACATGTATATATATGCTATCGTGTACCTGATTTGCTAAGAAATGTGAAGTCCACTTGTTCTCCAGTCAAAAAATTTTCCGAGCCGATAGTTAAGTGACGATAAATTATCTGTCAAATTTTCTTTTCTGAGACCAAAATGGATAGGAAAATAGGCAAGATTTTGATTGAACCTGGAACAGAAAATCAACCGTATGTGTTATCATTTTCGAAAATCAACAGTATCTCTTTTCATTCTCATTTACTTGTCACAAAAATATTGCTGCATTGCTAGTAAACAGACACCGACTGAAAGACTTGCAAAACAAGTAAAAAAATTGTGGGAGGAACGAGACTTTCGTACTTTGACCATTGAATCATTGGAAAAGGGTGAAAGTTCGGAAAAGAAAGAGTCAAAATCGGATGATAAGAAAGCTGCTAATCTCGCTGTCATGAAGAATTCCATTGGGGCTGCTGTTGCGTGAATATTTTTTTTATTGTATAAACTTATAGATTTATTTGAATTACAAACAGCGGGTATTAATATGGACTTAAATCCTATCCTATTTTAACAGAACATCCTCAAATGACATTGGCATAGGAATTGATGTATTGAATTTAATTTTATCCGATACCCGAGCAAACTTCGTGCCGACAAATCCATTACCAATCCCGTCCGGTATGATACAAAATACTTATCATGCCTATTCCCAACCAAGTAAAGCGACACAAATTCAGAATGTCAAATTGATGTTGGGAATGAAGCGCAGGGTATTTGATAATTTCTTTTCATTTCATTTTCGCTCAATTCAATTTTTCATTATTTGATCATAAATTTTTTTTAAATAGCAACTCAAACATGCAGCTGGAATTATATCAACAGCGGCTGCTAAACTAAACAACATTGTTGATAAAGAAAAAACATTCTGGAATGAAGCAGTATCTTTACGTGAACACCATTGGACTTTATGTCGTGGCAGTAAAGAAAAAAATACAGGCCTTCAGATTTTTGTTAATTATGGGTATCAGATGGGTAGGTATGTTATATATTACATCAGATCGATTTTTATGTCGTAATTTATCTTAAATAGCTCATTTGATATGTCTATTTCAGCTGCATCTCGTCACGCAGAAAATACTCAAACAGCACAAATTTTAAGGTCACCAGACGAAAAGCAAATTGCAATTTCACTGCCTCAAAAAGCTAAAAGATCAGTTAAATTGCGCTTATATAAAAGTTTTAGGGCTCCAGGTGGTGACAAACCACACGTACAAGAAAATTCATGTACGAATTATTTTTATTTTTATAGTTACAAAACTAAGTGTGAAAATATTCATACTTACTAAGAATTGTTTTAGTACTTCATTTTGATTTCATCGAAGGTTCAAACATTCATCAACAACTTGTAACTGCACAAAAAGCTGTCTTTGAAGAAGGATTGTTTGATCAAGTATGTTAACTCGATATCGAAACATAAGCGATCCAGTTTTATTTTATTTCTTGCTATTTTTTTTTTTTTCCTCTGCTCACTTTTACCTTTAAAGCATTGGGAACAGCGGCATAATGTTTTGAGATAAAGAATACAATGAATTCACTTTAATGTTCTTGATTTGCTCAATTGCTTAGTTAGTTAAGGAAGCGCGCGTAATGACCAATGTAATACTTCTTGAGAATGAAATTCATCTTCAAGTTTATCCTGGTGTAGATTTGACAATTCAATGGGTAAGTCTCACGTTTAATTTTGGTTTTTTTAATTGTATGATCATTCGTAATATTTTCATGATTTTTACTAGGTCAATATTGACACAATACAAGAGGAGGCTCGGTCCACGGATGATGATTGGACATCTGGTCTTCAAACAGATAATTTCGATATGACAATCTCACCAAGATCCCCTACGTGCACTGTGTTAAAATTAGCTATGGATCTTTTGGTCAGGAGATCCCATCGACGATATTCTATTAGGCAACAAGAACGTGTAATACAAGGAAATAGAGGAATATATAGAGATAGGTAAAAATATCTTATTATAATTATTATTATACTCATAACATTTTACATGTTTTATTAATGATGTCAAATTCATCAATTCGTAAATAGTGGACACGCTCAAATCCTTACCCAACCTCTCCATCTACTTAAATATCATTTCTTTTGTATTCATTTACGCGAAATTTTGAATTCGACTATTAGAGCCTTAAGAGGTGGTGGTGTGCCAGTTCAAATTCATTTTATATCCAACCTTTCTAAAGGCAAAGATTTGATAGAAGAAGTGTGGAAAAAGATTGGTAATGATAAACTTTCATTATTCACGGGATCAGTTATTGTAATCATTGATTACAGGTAAATTCAATTCATAGAAATTATTGGTTTAAATATATTTTATCTCAATTGTTTATTAATTCAAATGATTTATAGGCACAGTATTCGATTCACATTGGAATCGCCCGGATCATTGACTCTTCATTTACCACACGTTGATATTAAGACTGGAGATTTGATGCAATTTCAAGATTTATTTGTTAGGGAAATCAAATTACTTTTATTAAAAATTATTCTTGAAAAATTGAATACTTTGACAGGACTTAAAGATCTTGTAACAAATGCCGGTAAATGGTATTTAGATTCACCAGCATTGATGATATACAAAGATATACCTCCAGCGATTCCCCAATCAGCTTTTATTAAGATGAAAACGTCTTATAATCTTGATGATTTATTAAAAGATGAATTACCAGATCTTAATGAAGAAAATAAAACTGATAAATGGATACCCGAATATTGGAGACGTCCAGTGTATGTATTATTATGCTTTTTTGAATTTTTTTTTTTTTATATATGAAACTAGATGTTCTAATATTTTTACATTATTTATAGTAAAATTACAATTGATAATGGATATCCATCTCAAGATAAATTAACGGTTAGAGTTGAAGCTGCTTTAGTAGATGCTAAACCAGAATTAATTATAGGTGCCAGCGGTAAAAATATCCATAAAGAATTTGGTAAAATGGTCTATGAATTTTTAATTAGTTTGTTGTGATCAATGGAATCATCACGCTATAAAAATCATTATTGTTACTATACTTCTTAATTATATTGACTTTTGACCCTAAATATTTAGTATTGATATTATCTATAATTATGAGTCTTTTAAACATAAAGATAGAATCTGCTGTGAATGTTTATTAATGTAAAAGAAAAAAATGCAAAAGAATATATATGGATGAAATAAAAAAAAAATACAGCCAAAGAAAAAGGTAACAATTATCAAGGCGGCAATGTTATTAGAGCTTTGTCATTAATTTCATTAATTGTTCTTCTTGGAGTTCTGGAAGAGGATGCAACTTCGGTTGTTGTAGTTGTTGTAGTTGTAGTTGTAGATGACGATACTGATGATATCTTTGCATCATGTGGAGGTGTATCAAAGAATAATTTACGAATTAATAGAGCTTGTATTATTACAACAAACATTAATAGAAAATTAAGTAAAAAGGGAATTTCATTTGTTGAATGTTGTTCAGTACGTTCATTTGGTATATTTGAATTCGAATGGCTTCTATTATCGTTTCAACTGTCTTTTGGTTGAAATTTGATATAGAAATCCTTTGTCTTTAGTTCGTAAAGATCCTGAACACATTCCGGCAATTCATCAACAAATACTCCTAAATAAAGAAACGAAAGGCTACTATTAGCATAAAATTTCAAAACATCCTTTTTCTCATTTTTTTTTAAAAGAAAAAAATAAAATAAAATAAATTTATTTTAAATACCAGGTGATCCTTCGTAGATTGAGAAAGAAGGTACAACGGTATTTGGTGGTATTACTGTGTTATCCTCAATTTTACAACAATCTTTTATAATCGCAAATCTACCAATAACACAATTCTTGCCAATATGCACGAATGAACCTATTGTCGCTGCTTCAACAATACTCCCTTCTCCAATGGATACGTGATCTCCTATTTTCATAGGATAATAACTAAATGTCCTGCGTAATTTTTTTTTTTTTAAAAAAAAAAGATTAATCTTCGTAGGCAAAAAGTTATTTCTTTTAAATCCAAAAAAAAAATACCCTTTGTATGTTTTGTACGGAGGTCGAATAATGCTTCCTTTTGCTAGAAGACAATATCTACCAATAGCCACTACTACGGCATGACCACCTCCAGTACGTCTTAAATCTCCTCTAATAACACAATCAGTTTGAATAATAGTCTAAAGGGGGAAAAACGAATCAATCAAAAAAAAGAATCAAAGATTAAAAATAAGAATTTCATGACTTACTTTTCCACCCAATATAATATTTTGGCTTCCACAAATCACAGACTTACGGCTAACTTTGTTACCCGTATCCTAAAATAATAAAATGCGTCGTGTCGGTGAAAAATCAAAAAATGGTAATTCAAACCACTTTACAAAATGATGTACCGTTTCTATATACTCGGAACGAGGATAGTAAACGATTGGTGGCTCCATGACGACAAAAAAAAATTTTTTAAAAAAATAAATTAAATTAAATAAAAAGAAAGAAAAAAACCCCCTTTTAGACTTTAGGAAGCGAATTAATATACTGTTGATCTGTGTGACAGATTCATAAGTTTCACATGCTTTTTGTGTTTAACCTTAAATCTGGTCAAAAGTAGTATAGTAAATAAAATATAAATGAGATAACTCTGTTTTTTTTCTAAACATGATTTTAATTTCAAAAAATAAAATAAAATAAAATAATAAAAATTTTTTAAACATTACTACAGCAAATGATTTTTTATTATTATTATTATTATTATCATAGAAATGTATGAATAGTTCATTCAAATTCTTCCTTTATTAAAAAATTATTTTGTTCTTGATTGTTAAAATTTCTCTCATCAGAATAATCCATACAGCAAGCATCCGACTCGGCAGTGACTCCCAACCATAGCAAAGTTGATTTGATGGAACCAGCATCATAGAGTAAATTCATTTCCTCAAGATTTACGGCTTGATTTGGAATTTCTTCAACAACATTAACTTGATTTGGAACGTCATAATTATCAATACATTCTTGTTTTATAAAATCTGAGCAAATTACATCCGTATCATCTTCCACTTGTTGCGATCCTCCAAAGTTTGAATTGATGTCTTGATACGGAATCACGTCAATATCTTCTTGCTTTACAAAACCAGGAAAAGGTAAATTTGTGTCGATTTGATGATTTCCCAGATTTGATGAATTGTCACTAAATCTTCCCTGTTTTAAATAGGTTGATGATGATCTCTCAAGGCTTTTCTTTGTTCGTGATTTTTGAGCCCACCTATTTTTTTTTTACAATCACGATTCATATATATATATATATAAAATGAATAATCAATATGGTCTTACACTTTAAATTGTGAATTGATTATCTCCTCTAATTTACTGATCATATAAGAGACGCGCAATAATTTCTCCGAGATACGCGCGATTTTAGTAATTTTTTTTTTTTTTTTTTTTCGAGTTAATCTTACCTTTTCTTTGATTCTAATACTCTCAATCGCCTTTCTTCATCAGTTTTCGGCCTATTAGGATCATTATCCCACCTTGTACCTCGGGGAGGATTAATATTATGTTTTGTTTTGAGATGTCGTCGTAATATAGACCTTGCATTTTTCCCTCGATATAATTTATTGCAATATGTGCAAGTAAACTCCATTATTCTAATCTTCTTTTCTTGTCCCGTGACGTTCTCCTTGTTATCACAATCTACGGACTCACTTATTTGCGTGTGTTGCGGCTTTGGACTTGAGGTTTCTTGTGATTGAGAAAGTATTGGTATTGGTTGTATTAGTTGAGTTGTATCCTCTTGTAAACTAATTTCTGGTGGTAAAATTATGGTATTCCATGGAAATGTATCTATAATTTGCTGTAATGACACGTGTGTAGTGAAAGGAAGCAAAGGCACTGCACCTTCTTCGGCGACATAATATTCGAGCGAACTATTTAGAATCTCTGACATGTTAACACTGTGATAATTTTTTTTTTTTTTTTTTTTTTTCACTTTTGGTTAAGTACGAAGAAAAATCTATAGAATATATCTATATCTGTATATATATATAATTACAAAACAACTCGAGTGCTTTATTATGTAATCCTGATTTGACGAATTGACGCGTATATTACGATAATCAACTTGTTTTCTTATGCAGTGCTACATCAGAACGAAATACTTGACGTAAAAATAAAAAGTTCAATTGTTTTCAATTTAAACAAGTTGGTTACAAAACGAAAACATTGACTTACAAAAATAGCGCAAAAAAAAGGTTAAAATGAAAAACTTCTAAATGTTGACATGTAAACAAAGGCTAATTAAATATTTTTTTTTGAAATTTGCCAGAGAATCAAAAAAAGATCATGTACATACAGTACATAAGATGATCGAAGATAAGATGAATGATTACAATGGTATTAAATAATATCTATGAAAACTTAATTTATTTTTTTTTTTTTTTTTTTTTTTTTTTTTTTTACTAAAAATTGGGGATTAAATCTTTTCAATGCTAATTCTAGTTTTGGTATATATTCTTGCGATAAGCGTCGCTATTTTATTATAATAATAATCATTCATAACTAGCGATGTATTAGAAAATTTCATTGCTAATACAGAGTACGCTTATTAAACATCTTACCGTCGGGGAAAGCATGGAATTATTAAATGAAATTGACCGCCGAGAAAGGATTGTTATTCCCTTGGTATTTCTATATATTATTTAAAGGAAAAAAGAAGAAAATAGTTACAAGATATTTATATATACATATATAAATAACCTATTTTTCACTCTTCGGAAAATTATAAGGGGTAAATCTCCTCCTTCCGCCCAAAGTTGACGGCGATGTAGGCGCAGATGAATTTCTCTCTATTTTCAATCTTTCTGTTGGTAACGAAGTAGACGGTCGTGGGGATGAAGGTTGTGAAGAAGATTTTATTGAAGGAGAATCTGATGACGTTTCTTTTTGTTTCATTTGGGCCAATTTTCTTTCCAAAGCTTGTATCTTTGAATCCGTACTATTGAAATAAAATAAAATGCAAAGAAACTTAATAACAGAATGTGTTTATTATCAATTATTTGATATAAACTTACCTAGCATTAACCATTTTATGTGCTTTTAACAAAGAAATCGTCGTTGGTCTATTAGTAACTGATGAAGGTCTTTTTTTGAATTGCCTGCTGTCGTAATTCTCAGGTGCCTAATATCATAACTTTGTTAAAAATAATAACTAGGAAAGACAAAGTTTATGACTTCATATAAAATATATAATTACTGCATATGCAAAAGTCACTATCATGGATCGATTCTTGATCAATTTTGAATGCATAGCTGTCATGGCTCTCAAGGCTTCCTAGGTGCCATTCGATATTTAAGAACACATAATTTTAGTGATTTCAAAAAAACGCAATTAATACTTAAAAAAAGGAAATAGTAATATGAGAAAAAGCAAAATAACATACCTCTTTTTTACTATATTCCAAGAAGCAATAACCCCTTGGCTGACCGCGTTTTGGTCCACTCTTATGAAAGAGATAGTCAAGATGAGTTATTTTTCCAAAAGGTTCAAATAACTTTACAACAGTATATCTACAAGATGAAAGAGATCAATAGGCATTTTTGATAATTACTAAATCGTGATTTCGAATCTAAAAATACTTACTCATCGATAGAAGAATCTAAATTTCCAATATACAAACGTTTGTCGTCCAGCTAAAAATGAGTAAGGTCAAAACTTTTATTTAAAATTTGTAAAATAGCTTTAAGTTTAGAACAAGAGTATTTTACCTTGCTAGAGGTAGAAGTTTGTGATGACATTTTTTTTTTCTTGGTTTAAAATCTATCGAACTATATGAAAGTAATCCCAACATCAATTAAATTGTTTAAGGTTGTAGATCACGTGATTGACAGGCGTTTGAGAATCTCCCCCAGTAGGGTAAATTTATTCTGTAGGCTCTTATCCTGTTCCGTAACTGTTTTATCACGTGATACTTAGTTTAAAAAAAATTATTTATACATGGGGTACAAGTTCAGTAATGCCGGCTAGAAAATCACGTGGGGTGAAAAGAAGTGTTGGTAGTCGAAAAATTTTTTTTTGATAATCAAAAAAGTTGTATTTTTAAGGATATGAAAAATGATAAGAGCAAACAATCTAATGTTAGTTTTTCGGGCAAATTTGTCCCAGCTGAAGCGACCGAAACCTTAATTTCAGAAAAATTAAGCAAAAAAGCTGCAAAACGATCTAGAAGACGTGAAAAAAGGCAAAATGAAAGAATTAATAGCGCTCCGGAACAGAAATGGCGCAAGATATCGTTATCAAATCCACCACCAATAATACCTGCTAATATAGAAGAGGATATCACAGAAGCGACGCGATCAGATAATAAAAAAAAGCGTAAACGAAAAAATGCGGTTCAGGGAAATAACTCTAATAATGATAATGATTTTGTTGATATTCATTCTCTTGAATGGTCTGAAGTAGCTTGTCCAGAATCAATTTTTATGGGAGATGATTTAGGAGGGTTTTTATGTTTAGAGGAAATAGATTATGTTGATGTTGAATATGAAAATAATGAAGAAACCCAAGGAAAGACGATTAAATTTAAGGTTAGTAATTTGATCAATATACTTGGTATTTCAATATTTATGAATTATTGTTGTATTATATGAACATTATCTGAATAATTCAACAGAGAATCAAAAGTGATGAGAAATCATCAAATGCGAAAACTAAAAATTTATGCGCTAAACCAGAAGAACCATTAACAAAAGAAGAGTCATCCAACTATTATGACTTGGATACATTTGATGAAAGTCTTCTATTAGGAGAAGAAATGGATGAATCTTCGCAATCCGAGGAAGATGTAATCTCACATGATAATAATGAAGGTCAAGATAATGAGAGTGATAAATATGAAAATGATGAATCCATCATTAATAATTCGCAATCAAATAGCGAGGATGAAATGGATATTGATTCGAAAAAAGAGGAAGATAATAATTTGAAAAATCATAGTGCAAGCACGAATATTAATCATAAACCGATCGCGAAAGGACTGGGTCATAATGCAATTGAAGGTATGGGTTCTTCAAGTTTAATAGTCGAAATATTAATAGTAATTTTTTTTTTAAATTAAGAATACTCATATTACAATATAGAAGAAATTGATATTTCTGCATGGAATCAGTTCAACCTTTCTCCTACCATCATGAATGGGTTAAAAGCACTTCAATTTGATAAACCTACACCTATTCAAGAAAAGTCTCTCCCTTTTAGTATGTCTGGACGTGACGTTGTAGGTGCAGCTGAAACTGGTTCCGGAAAAACGCTTGCTTTTGGAATTCCTATATTAGAATACATAATTAATCGAAATATTAAAGAATCCGAGAACCAACTTGCAGCGCTTATTTTAACGCCTACAAGAGAATTAGCTATGCAAGTCAGAGACCATCTTCTAACCATTAGCAAAACTTCTTTAATTAAGGTATAAAATTACGGTTATTTTCGCGGATTTAGTTAATAGTTTAATAATAAAGTTTGTCATTTATTCAAGATAATGGTGATTGTTGGAGGAATGTCTGTTCAGAAACAACAGCGATTGTTGTCAAAGCATCCGAATATTATTGTCGCTACGCCTGGACGTTTGTGGGAGCTATTCTCTGAAGTAAGAGGTTCTTTACAGTATTTAAATATTAATAATGTTGTTATGTATTAAATATATGAAAATTTTCTGTACAGAATGATGCGTATCTTGATAGCTTGCGACGCATAAAATTCTTGGTATTAGATGAGGCAGATAGGATGCTCGAAACCAACCATTTCGAAGAGTTAAATCATATTTTAACTGTTCTATCAAGAACTAGAATGTAAAAGCAAATTGATTTTTCAGTTTTATTAATTATTTTTTAATTCCATAATATTAATGGAATGATTTAATAGTAACACTAATGAGTGGGCCGAAGGCGACATGAAAAAAACTGAGGACTGCATCAATGGTAATCTTCTCTTGCTTTTAAATTCAATTCATATCCTGATACTCATAATAATTTAATTATCTTATATCAGACCTAGCTCCTCGTCAAACTTTTGTATTTTCTGCTACGCTTGATAGCAAGTTGAAAGAAGACCTGAAGCGAAAGAAATCATACAAGAGAAAAAAAGATTCTGTGGGGACAATGAGTAAATATTTATTTATAACTATAATTGTTTTGTGATAAACCATTCTAGCTTTATCCTAACTATAAATTAATTTTAATCAAGCTGAATTAATGCATCGGCTCGAATTTAGCGATCCTGATCCAGCTTTTTTGGATATTACACCGGAAGAGGCAGTTGCCGAAAAATTACAAGAATCCAAAATTGATTGTCTGACCAAAGAGAAAGTGCGTAATATCTGTGATATTTAGTTTTTTTTTTTATTTAAATATTTAGCTTTTTAAATATTATACAATTTTTAGGATTTACACACGTATTATTTTATTACACGATATCCTGGACGGACTCTTATTTTTGTTAACAGTATTACTGCCATTCGACGTCTTATACCAATCATGAAATTATTAAATATTGAAGTTTTTGGTCTTCACGCACAAATGCAACAAAGACAGCGGTTAAAGAATTTGGATAGGTAAATATATAATATACGAAGATCACAGATTAGCTTATTCCTTACGTATTGAACTAATTATCAAGGCTGCAATTGTAGATTTAAGCAGAACCCTAAAGCTGTTATGATTGCAAGTGATGTCGCGGCACGTGGTTTAGATATTCCATTGGTTGAACATGTTATACACTATCAGCTACCGCGTTCTAGTGATGTATGTTTTTTATTTTAACTTCCAGCATTTAAAATATTATAAATATTATTTTGATTTAGTTAATTTATTTATTCATTGTGCAATTATTTTTTTTTTTTAGATATATGTTCATCGAAGTGGCCGTACAGCCCGTGCAAGAAAAGGAGGTATAAGTTTGATGCTGTGTAGCCCCGAGGAACTGAGCTTATATCGGAAGTTATGCTTGAAACTAAATAAAAGTGAGAATTAAGGCGTTCGATTAATGCTTTGTTTAAAATCTTTAGTAATTAATGATTTTTTGATCTTTTTTTTAGCTGACGGCTTGACAAATTTTCCTGTTGATAGAGGCATATTAAATTCAATGAAAAAGAGAATTGATTTTGCAAGGCAAATAGACCAAGAGGAACATAAAATGCAAAAGGTCGAAATATTTAATTCTAAAGAAAATTATTATTATTTAAAATTAAATATTGATTTTGTTTTAATAATATAGATGAACTATGATAATGATTGGATTAAAAAGGCTGCTCAAGAATTTGAAGTTGATTTAGATGATAAGTAGGTTCCAAACATTTATTCAATTAACAATGCGTCTAGAATATTTTATTTTTAACGGTTCATTTTTTTTAGTGATAATGATCCAAATATAGGAAATCAAAGACAAACTAAGGAAAGAATTCGATCATTGAAGTTCGAATTAAATTCATTATTATCTCAACCATTAGTCCCGCGAGGAATATCTACAAAATATCTCACAAGCGGGATCGTACGTGATTTGGCAGATAGATTGTTGGATGAATCTTCGCGTAAGTATAATTAATTACAAATTATAATGTATTTTCTTATTGTGGAAATTATGTTAACGATTTATATTTCATTTATATAGATAATTCGGTGATATTAGGTGTCAAAAATACAAAAGCAACTGATGATTTACAATCGAAGAAATCAAAGAAAAAAAGTTGCTGAGAATTGAAACTAGTATAAGATATTTAATTCTAATGAGTTATATAGTTAATTTCTCAATTTGTTTTTTTTTAAAAAAAAAGAAAAACTAGATCAAGATTAATAAACTGTTCGTCTTTAATGTATTTATTTCTAAATATATTTAACAGTACCTATATTAAATATGAATGACTCATGATTTTCTTGTAAATTACCTTTCAATTAATTAAGTTTTCTACTTGCGTTCATATGATGAGCACTTTTATCAACTGTAATGTTAATCTGAAATAAAATAATTTAAATAATTAGTATTTTTTAATATCTAATTAAAATTGATAAATAAATCTAATACTCATTAATACAGAATAGTTATTTTTATTTTTATTGATATCCATTTAAAACTTATATATATGATTCTTTATTTTTCATATATTATTTATTACATTTAAAGAAATATTCAAAATTAA